CTCTCTCCCCCCGCCATCAGCACAGTGGACATCCTCCTGTGCGCACCACGGACATTCCCAAGTATGATGACATGTCTCTCGCTGGTTGCAGATAGCAACGCGCACGCTCTCTATGACGACCACCCGTCAGGAGTTGTGGTGCGATGTGCTCGCAACCAAATTGCGAGGTAGCCCTTCCACTGTGTGGGAGGATCGTTATACCCAGCGCCTCCGTGTGGGTGAGGTCCCCATTCTGGCCGACTTCGCGGCCTTCCTTCAAGACCGTTTCGGCGCTCGTCATGACGCCACCGACGCCTTAGACCGCATCACCCAGACCTGATGGTCCGGGTCCTCTAAACCGGCCGACCTGGAACGTCACATCCRGGTGTTTCAGGACGCTCGCCTTGTTTGTGACGAGACGTTCCTACCGGAGGTCACACTCACCGACCGGTTCCTTGTCAGCCTGCCAACTGACTATCGCCTAGAGCTATGGAGGCGATCATTCTCTTCCGCGGAGCAGGCATACGAGGCTGCGCGTCAGTACTAGAGGATGTGCAGTCGCTTCTCCGTCGCCCCATCCTCTTCGCGGCCAGCCGCCACCTCTCAGTCTCGGGGTACCACCCGAGGTCGCTCCTCGTTTGCTGGTCGTTTTCGTCGCCCGACCCGCCCTGGAGCGTCATTCTCTCAGCGCTACAGTTCTCTGAAGTACGGCGAGGACGCCTCGGCCGAGTTTGACCCTACCCTTGGGGACGCCCCCGAGGACATCGAGCTATGAGACGTTTTCTAGTATCACTTGGATGACGACAATGTTCCGGTGGCCGAGCGCTTGCTGATGGCCATGTCTGCCATGGGTCGTGCTCGTAGTCGGGTTGCACAGGCTGGCGCCCGCACACCCACGATTCCTCAGATAGACCTCCCGCAGGGTTATGTCCTTCCTGACGGAGCTCTATCCCATGAGGAGCAGGCTGCCCTCGAGGCCCGACGCGGCTGCCTTCGTTGCCGCCTAGATGGACACACCTCCTCACGGTGTCCATACCATACCGCCCTCGATCGGCACTACGCTGACATCTCTCGTCAGCGTCGATCTCAGTCCCCCCCCGGCCCCGCCCGACCAGCCCCATCCACCTAGCCCCGGTGCACTGTGCCCCTGAGGCCTCGCACATAGCCGGCTTTCCGACCACCGAGTCGTGGTTTGCCCCTTTGGCTACCCCACCAGAGGATCCTCAGGACACGATACACGCAGTTCTCTTCGCCCCATTGTCTATCGAGGTACCGTCTGCCTCCCAGCAGACTGCCGCATCTAGCGCTTCTCGCTTGAGACTTCCGACGCGTCGCGCCATTCGCACAGCCCGTTGTGGCGCTCAGCTGGCGACTCGCGATGACGTTGTGTCATCTCTCTTGAACTTGAGCATTCTGCAGGTTCGTCAAGAGCACCTCACGAGACACATCAACGTCCTGCGTCGTCTTCTCGCCTTGCTCTCTGACCCTGATCGCACCCTACCCATTATCCCTATTCGCCTAGGGACATCTACGAGGGTGTACCGCGCTTTATGGGACTCTGGCTCGCAGGGAGATTTCGTTCACCCTCGAGTGGTTGAGGAAGCTCGACTAGCTACCTCTGGGTCTCGCTCTCCTATCTCCGTTACCCTCGGAGATAACAAGATGCAGCGCTTCTTCGATTAGACGGTCCCTGACCTCCACTTCTCCCTCACCCTCCAGCCACCGGATAGTACTCAGGCGCCTCGGCGCTACCATTCCTCCGCCTACTTCGACGTGCTGGAGACTGGGTACGACTTTATCCTAAGCACTCCCTGGTCTCGCCGGTTCCGTAGCACAGAGGCCGAATGGGCGTTTGAGATACTCATTCTCAAAACGAAGTGTGGTCAAACCCATCGAGTTCCCTTCATTGGAACCACGGGCGACACCCCTCCAAACCTACCTCCCCAGGACCTTTGTCCTTCTAGGTCCCACCCATACATCTCCTTCACTTCTCCCCGTCAGTTTGCTCACTTCATCCGACAGGAGGACATCACGCTCTACTCAGTGAACGTCATGGATCTTCTTCGCTACGATCCACTCTGTCCCGAGGTTGAGCTCATCTCACTGGAGCCCGATCCCCCTGACCCTTCCTCCATTTTCGCGGCTCCCATCTCTACATCCACCTCGCAGCCTGCGGATACCCCCTCGACATCCCAGGTTCCTACGCCGTCCACTGTCGAGTCCACCCATACGTCTCGTGCCGACGCAGACGTTCAGGAACTCATGCGGTTCACGACTGACTTAGAGCTCGTCATTCGCGACCTGATTCGGGACTACCGCGACGTCTTCCCCCCGTATTTCTCATACAGCGGGATTCCCCCGATGCGCGGTGTCGAGCATTCCATCCAGCTC